GTCAGCCAAGATTTCGATTTCAGATATGCAAAACACCGCCCGAGTCATGATTGAAATCAGGTTGTGACGCCCCCGTTGGCCATGGAAGATAAAAGCTGCGATGGGTATCACTTTAACTGGTAACTGAATGAAAATCCTGGCCAACTTCAAGCATTAACGCTCCCCGTACCGCCTCAATGTTTATTCAATTATCGCAGCATGGTGGCCGAGGAAAAACAACCCGTATAGACGAGCCATGAGCAATCCACCCCGGCTCTAACCATAACCATCCATTAGTAGCAACTGTTTCGCTGGTAATCTACACCATGCCACGCCCATCCGCAGATCACTGAACATCCCCCTTTTCAACGGGAGGGAAATGTGGAAATTGTGGAAATGGGGTGCGAAGTGGGTACAAATTATTAAGCTAATCAACAGCGAACGCAACAATAGGAACAGGATATATGGCCGTCCAAACGGGGGAAGCAATTTGTCCCCTTTCATTTTGAAAGGGAACGGGAGTGCTGATAAGCGTGAAATTTATATAGGTGTCCACTCGAGATGGGCACTTTAAAGTGCCCCGTGAACTGTCAACGGCAGCCCGAAGGGATCCGAAAACGGTGGTCGGGATCCGGATTCCGGATTCCGGAATCCGGGACATATATTCGGTTATATGCTTCGTTGATCTTTGAACGCAAAACGGCTTACGTAACCATCATTAAGTCGACTGGTCGCCTGTCTGCTGCATCTGTTGGGTTTTAAGGAAGTGGTATGGTGAACCATCCCTTTTCTGCACAGTAAACAAAGTTGTATATAAAGATATATACGTATATACGAAAGTATCTGCGAGTGTACATGTATCTCTGCGTCGGATTATCTCCCGTCTGCATCGGCTTAGAGTTCATTTTTACTCGTTCACCATTGAGGTCTGATGGTGAAATGAAATGGGGAATGGAGTGTGGCCTCCGGCTCTTCGTCATATTGCTCTTGCCATATAGCTATTCATCTGGAGCTTACTTGGTTATTAGGTGGCGTAATCGTCGAACAGGGACTCAACCTAATTAACCATTAGGTGAGCGCCATCATGTCACAACTGTCGGCTTAGGAAAAAGTGAAGGAGTTAACTGAGTGGAGTTCACTGGTTCGGTGAATGTTCTAGTCGGATTTACAACGAAAAAGATGTGTGTTTACTGTTCAAATACTTTCTATAGGAAACCACCCATCCAAAATCAGCACTTATGACGCATTAATCACTCACCAAACAGTCAGTGCCACTCGAAATGCACTCACGACTTAGAAAAATCCCACACAAATTGCTAATCCTTGGGCAAACAAGATCTCAGCCACGTTACCCAAAGCCCGATGACGAAAATATGTCACATTTTTTCACTCTAAAAACGGAAATTTACAACTGGCCCCCACTAATAGAGACTCTCAAAATAGCCGACCATAACAGTATTACAACACCTTGACGGACGCTAAACTCAGTGTTTGTTCACAAATACCAAGGGGTATGGAATGGTATACCATACCATAGGTATAGTAGGGAATGGTATGGTATGGGGCTTAGTCAACTAACGTCCGCGATATCCGTGCAAAGCAATCTTGTCAGTATATTACGTTAATGACAAATTGACGGCACCGGCTCTTTGATGTGTTTTGTTTGATTGTTTTGGTTCTAATCATCGTCGACTGCCGACGAAGTAGTCGTGGTAAAAAAAAAAATAGTAGTTAAGGTGGGGGTGGCTGTGCTCGAGGGGAGGGTAGAGGAGGGGCTTTTCGGATCTCAGGGGTGTGCTTGCAAATGATTCGTTTTAATTTAACCGCGTACTCGCAGTCGTCACTCAATTAGCTTGCAGCTCGGCGGAGCTTATCAGTTTCCGAAAAGTCATATAACCCCCCTAAAACTGTTTGTCCAGGGGTGGCGAAGGGGTGCTGCAGTGGCTCAGAAGGGGTGGTGGTTGATAAGCTCCACCGCTATCTGACTGGCTCTCTCGCTCTCATCGAGGTGGGTTTCCACTGCACTGGGCGCAAATGTGCGCAAGTCGAAGCCTATTTTAATTTGAAAAAATGAAGATGTGTTTTTTGTGTTATCAAGGAAATATTCAATTATATTTTTAATTAATTAATGAGTTTGCTTTATTATTATAAACTTTGTACTTTACAGAGATTAGATTTTAACGCATCTTTACAACTGAAAATTATATTTAATATTACAATTTATTGATTCAACATATTCAATTATATTTACAGAACTACTTTTTTAAGTTTTCAAGCATTAAAGAGGCACTTTCTATCATCAGTAAGCTAAGATTGCCTAAGATCTTATCACTGCGATTGCTTAGAACTCAACTCTAGTTCGGCGAAAACTGAAGCAAACTGAGCCCGTTTTTTCCAGTGTACAGTGCAGAGTTTCCGTCACTATTTGACGTTGCTGGCTGTTGTAGTACACAAGTCGATCCGGTGACTGCTCCGTGCTACGTGCCCGGCAAGTTGTCAAACAAGCCGTGGGCAAATACGAAGTGCCAGCCGGGAAGCACGGAGTGCCGGGCAGCAGTACGGAGTACGGATTACGGAGAGTGCGGACTCGAACTCGGACTCCGAGAGCGAGAGAGGAGACCACCTCGCCGCACTCGTCCGACTGTCAATTACAACTCTAAATATGTGTGCACACTCGACATTTGTCGCATTTGTTTGCATTTGCGCCTGCCTGCAATAAAATCCAACAACCGACATCGCACAAGAGTTGTACGTTCTGGCATATGGGCATACACCGGAAACTACGGGCGGAAAGTGTTGCCAGTCAGAATAAAAAAACACAATACCACTCTGGTCTATTGGTGACCATGTAGCACTTGCAGCATGTGCCTCTCAAAAAAGTTGTTATATGTGATTGTGTATATTTTCCATAATCCCCAGTGATAACATTTTCTTGCGGTGTATCGCCCACGAGTGGGTCTTCATATGCATGCTTCAGTTCTCCGCCGCAACGTGAGAGAACTCTGCAGAAGCGTAGGCCCCCAACTCCCCGTCGGCAAAAGTGTCCCGTCCAATAAAATCTAATAACCACTTGGGGACACCGTTTGGGCCCTCCCTACTCCCTACTCCCACTCCCTCCTCCCTCCTCCGCTTCGCCTATCGGCGGAGGAGCTCTGCGGCTCCAAGGGCCCAACAACTGCGGACCTTATAAGCAAGGTCTCCTATTCACTTGCACGATTTTCGGCAGCTTTTCTTCTTCTGTATTATGACATTGGCACAAAGATGCGGCGGCGACTGCAGTTCCAGAAATTTAGTTTTCCTGGCTTTATGATCGTTTGTCGGTCGTCAAAGGGCCTTTACGGGTGGGCGGTGTGCGCAGGGGGTGGGGGTTGGAGACGAGGTGTCTAGGAGGCAGCTGTGATGACATGGGTGTGGATATTTGGGGGTTGGCTACGAAAAGAATTCGGGGAATTCACGAAATAAAGTAAGTTGGAAAGTTTTCTGTGGAAATTGGAAGCTTGTCAGTTTATTATCATATCATATTGTATAGAAATCATATTGAAATCATATTGTATAGGCTAAATAGCTAACTATAGTAGAATTCTACAAGTTTTTGTTAGGACCCAAGCTTGGGTACTTTAACTACCGCATACCTTTGTGTAAGATGGTAAAAAAGAAAAAGTTACCTAACTGAAATGCGAAAACGTTTACGAGATGGCACCTAATTAGGCAGAAGAACGCCGCCAGAAATTTACGTTTCCTTCAGTTCTGGCGCAGCTTTCAACTTGGCCAAAGGCAAAAAACTATACTTAAGACTTGGCGAACACACCAACGCCAGCGATTGGCCCCAAAAAATGAGTTAGATGCGCTTCCCCTACACAGAAAAAAACTGTTAAGAAATGGCTCATAATTTTACAACTTAAGGTTTTCAGCTAACATATACCCAGTGAATACCACCAATATAGCATTTATTTGTTGTGGATTATTGAAAAATGTGCAAAATTGAGTTCAGTGCATGGCGCGTATTTGAGCACTGAGCAAACACGGATTCGTTCCCATTGAGGTGCCGATGCGGCCGGGTCAGAATTATTGGCGTAGTTACGACCGGACGGACAGCCACATACATCAAATCATAAAGCAAATGGTGCCGACAAACTAACTGGCCGGAGCCAAAATGGCAGAGTGGCAGAGTGGCCAAATAACCAAATAGCCCGGCCGACAGCCCACTGACATTTACATTCGCCCCAAAAAGACAACGCCAGGGCAAATGAACAACCGATACCGATGGCCAAACAACCAAACAACCGAACAACCAAAACCAGAGGAGTCCAACAACCGACGACAACGAGAACGTTCCGCTTTTTTGCGTTGGTTCCGGGAAACGCAACAAAATTTCACAACGCACCAAAATGTTTCCCTTCCCCTCGACTTGGCCATCATCATCGGCCCCATCATCGTGGCCCCCAGCCCCCAGCCCCACCCCCACCGGCTCCATCGCCAAAGCCCCAGGAACACAACAACACCTTGACCAAAAGCAATAGCCAACTTCAAAGAATCTTCCAACGGCCACGCCTCGAACACTAGACAACAACATTGTTGGTTGGTGTTGTTGGTACACCGAAAGAAAATGCTAAGTACTAATTACTATAACAGCAATGGCAGAAGGATTAAGATTGTATTCTGTATAATATTATTTAGTAATATATTTAATAATTTGAAAGCCTTCGTTTAAAGCTATATTTTAAGTGGTTCGTTCAAACTAATCTTGTTACTGCGAATTTCGCGCGGTGTAGGTTTCGTTGTCGCTTTTTGCTGTAAGTGTTGCAGATCGAAGGTGGAATGTTGCCGCGTTGTCGTTTGCCGTTGATGGGCTTATTAGAGTTAGTCAGTGTTGTTTCCTCTTTCATTTCAATTTTTTTTTTTTTTTTTTTTGTCTGGGCGGTGCGGAAACCTCAAAGCGAATTTAGTGCGCTCCCGCCCCTTCCGCATCGCTCCGCGCCCCTCCGCTGCGCCGCCCCTTTTCGGGGTTGTCCCCTCGCGTTTATGACGACAATGCGTTTGCTGTCATAATTATTAGTCAAACACAAACAATGAATTTCATAATTTTCCCATCAATACGGTCCAACAGCCGGTTGGAGCGACGTTGGAGCGTTCGTAAACTTCGAAAGCGTTCAAACATCCGCTCTTCCCGCACGCGCCGCTCGGGAAGAATGCCCCACTCTTGGCCGGAGGATGAGCTGGATACCACGACATAGCCTGGGGCTCTGGGGTGCTCCCAGGGGGATGGCGGGGCGGGGTGGGGCGACACTCTGTGGAAATGAAGCCGTCGCGCATAAAGTGTGAAATTGCTGGCAATTCGCAGAGACGCTCCATTCTCGGCGTTTCTCGGTCTTTGGAGGCTGTTTAGAGCCTGGACTAATGGGAGATGCCAGTGCACTCAGCAAAATACTTGCAGCCCAAGTCGTTAGGCTTATGCATCCGGCAAACATAAAGACTTCAAATATTTCCTGAAACTAACGATAGTTTCATTCAGAACTGCTTGGAATTATGAAAGGAATTCTTTTAAAATATTGATACTTCACTTTGGATATTTGGAGGTAAAGCTGCAGCAGCTGAATCATCTAGCCATATATACATAACCCTTTTTAAAAGAATTTCTCCCAGTGTCGCTTGCACGCTTGTTCCATTGAATAGAACAATATCCGCGCAAATATTTGCAGAGAGCAGCAAGCAGGTCGTGTTTAAAATGTTTAACCACCCGGGGAGGAGGAGTGGGTAAGGATGGGGCAGTGGACGAGGACGAGGAGGAGGAGGAGGAGGAGGAGGAGGAGGAGGAGGAGGAGCCGGCTGGCCACGGCAAACAAACGAGAACAGGGCCGCGAGATCTGGCCAAGAATGGGACCCAAACTGGGACGCAGAACTCGGACTCATCCATAATTGTTGTTTGATCGTTGTAATTGGTTTGGTTTGGTTTGGCTTGGTTTGGCCTGGTGCAGCTGAAGCACAGGAAATGCAACAGCAACAGCAACAGTGGAGACCCCATAAAGACAACATTGCAGGCGGCTTTACATTGATCCGTTTAACGATTGACAAACGCGGCGATCTTTTCGGGAAGCCTGCGTCAGAGTTGGGGGGCAGAAAGGAATGAGAGTAGGGCAACGGGGTGAGATGGCCGTGGAAGGAAACCCGGTCGGCATTCGCTTTTGAACTGCACTGTATGTGCTTGTGTCGTTATGGCCGCATCTTTTTGTAGTCGATAATAAAAATTGTAAACTTTGTGGCAGTCTGCAGCTGGAGCTGGTGCTGGAGCTCCACCCTCGTTCTGGAATGGACAGCCCACTTTTCGCTATAAAATCCCTTTCGAACTCTTTCAGCGGACACGCCCGGAATTATCTGGTGTTCCTGTGTGGGAAATGTGGAGTGCATGGTGGCCCGATATCTAAATACCGTGCTCTTGTGGGTGGGTGGTCCTGTCGATCGGTGAGATAGCGCCTGCTCCACTTGTCCGCCGGCTTGTACGACATTATTTGACTAGAAAAGTGGAGCAGCCTGGAGTTGGTGGGAAAATGTGGGCATTTCTTTGTTTTAGCCCCACTATTGTCGATCTTGTTTGTTGTCAAAGGCTTGTTGAAAGCGGTGTTTGAAGGTGTGCACCTTAATGCTACATTAATTGCCCTTGTTGGCACTCGAGCGATAAACATCGGTACAAATATTTGATTTTAGTACGCTGCAAGTGTGTCAATAGTGTAAGTACAAGAGTGGAATCGACGTGGAGGAATGGTAGAAAGGGTGAGAAAAACGTTTAGGAAAATTCTGGAAATTTTCAAGTGAAGGATCTGGATAATGGGCTGTTAACTGAAAGGGAATCTACATGCCTTTGGTAACTGGCTATAATGTTCACAATGTAGTAACACTTGAGCAGTTTTGAGACTTGGGATTGGACTAACACCTTTCCAGCACCATAAGCCCAACTCAACAATAAAATGCATGATTTCCTTTAAGCTATTGTCTTTTATTCGATCGTACATTAGGAGTCCACAATTAACTTAATATCTATAGTTAATCTACGCAAAGTCAAACTTTCCTGCTAGGCTTACGTCACAAATATCCAAGGCTTAAACCAAAGTAGCTAGGGCTAAACTTACACTAAACTAAATGCTGTGTAGTCGTGCTAAGATTACGATTACGAAATGGAGGGATTCGTACTCATGAGAGCTGCAATTGAGATTTCATTTTATTGAGTGGGTATCAAAGAGTGAGGAATCATTTGAGGAAGATCAATCGCTGACGGCCACCAAATCTCTGGCGGATGCGGCGCTACTGGCGGAGCCCGTGGGTAAGCCCAGTTCCGAGCTGGAGCTGGAGCCGGAGCCAAACAGATCACTTAGGTTGCCGCCCACCACACCGCCCACTCCGGCGGCCAAGTTGTGCGTCAGGCTGTGACGTCGCAAGTCGCAGTTGCGCCGGAAGACTTTCCCGCAGGAGGCGCAGTTGTACGGCTTGATGTCGGTGTGGGTGAGCAGGTGGGTCTTCAGATTGGAACGCTGGTTGAAGGAGCGGTTGCACACGGGGCACTTGTGCGGCGACTCCTCCATGTGCAGGATCTTGTGGACGGCCAGCGTGCGGGACTGACAGAATCCCTTGCCGCACTCTGCGCACTTGAAGGGCTTCTCCTTGGAGTGGATATATCTGCGGATCACAAGAATGATTCGGAAGACTGAATGAAATATGGCGACTATACTGGTTCTGAAAACAGCCTCCAAGACAAAGGGTCATTTCCTATACTACAATGAAGTGGCCCATCCCCAATTTATAAGGTAATACCCAGCCTACCTGTGGTCCCTCAGATGATCCTGGCGCCGGAAGGCCTTGCCGCAGATGTCGCAGGAGTAGGGCCTCTCGTCCGTGTGGGTTCTCTCGTGGATGAGCAGATTGTAGGACTTGGTGAACTGCCGGTTGCAGAACTTGCAGATGAACTGCTTCTTGGAACGCTGGGCAGCCGCTGCCGCCGCCGAGCTGCCCGCCTCCTCCAGCCCGCCCACCGCACCTGCCGCTACTCCGCCTGCCGCCCCTGTGATGACACTCATCTTGTCCTGGTACATGGTGGCCTGCAGCGAGTGCAGAGCCGAGTCCGTTTCCGCCTGGCTGAAGGCCGAGGGATTGAACATGAAGCTGCCATAGCTGCTGTCCAGGTCTCCCGCCTCGAAGGAGAGCGCATCCTCGCCATCGAGCAAGGGTAGATCGCATTCTGCTGCCAGTTCTGCGGCCGTTGCGCAGTCCAGTGCCGCCTGTTGGTTTGCAGCAGCTGCTGCAGCAGCCGCAGCAGCCGCCACTGCGGCAGCAGCACTAACGGTGCCAATGGAGGGCAGAGGCAGGCACTTGGATGTGGCTGGTGTGCTGGTGGAGTTGCTGCTGTTGCTGCTGGGCGAGGATGTGGCAGCAGCTGATGCTGTGGCTGCAGTCAAGGGGGGCTCCCCCGAGGAGCTCGAGGAGCAGCTCGACTTGAGCTCTATATTGGCTATATCGATTAGCGAGGAGGGCAAGGCATTGCTCTCCGCTTCACTGCTGCTGCTGTTGCAGGTGGTGGCGTTGTTGCTGTTGCCGTTGCTGTTGCTGTTGCTGCTGCTGGTGTTGCTGTTGGAAAAGCGGAACACATCCGATTTCCCGGTGAGCCGCTGCAGCGCCAAGTAGGATTCCAGGGCCTGGAGATTGAGGGCTGCTGCTGCTGCCGAATTGGCCGGCAGCAGGGCGGCCTGCTGCAAGCTGCTGACCATGGTGCCTTGCAGCGAAAGAACGACCGCAGCAGCCGCTGCAAGATCGTTGGTTGCTGCGGCCGCCGTTGCTGTGGCAGCTGCCATGGCTGCGTTGCTGGTCTTACTGCCGATCGGCGATGTTGCAGCGGTGCACTTGTTGCCGTTGGCGTTGCCGTTGCCGTTGCAACTCTCGCTTTTCTTGTGCGCCGCTGTGGGTGTTGCTGCGGCACTTGGCTTGTGGTGCCTCGATGTTGCTGCGTTGCTGGCTGCAGCTGCTGCTGTTGCGCCTGCCTTGAGATCGCCCAGCGCCTCGTTGCCAATATCGCTCGTTGCTGCCGGCGCGGCTGCTGCCTTGGCCGGCAAATCGCTGCAAGTTGCAGCTGCAGCAGCAGCAGCAGCGGCACTCAAATGCTTAACTGCCTCCATAAAAAAGTCGAATCCACGCACACACTCAGCTGGATATCGGGATAAAGCCTCGGGGCTGCGATGTTGCTGGTTGCCGTGGTGATTTTTTGTATTTTTTATTGTTTGGCGCACCTACGCAGGTTGAGAGGTTCGGAGCGCGTCCACATGAATATTAAAAACCACACGCCATCATAAATCACGTCTTAGTCACGCTTTCAAAAGTCATAAAAATCGAATTTGACGTCTGGCCAAAAAACGAAAACAACAAAGTGCAGTCTCAGCCAAGTTAAGTCAAATTGGCAGGCACGCTTTTTCGATTTTTTCGACTGAAATAATATGGTAGTTCTGTTGGCTAGCACACGCGAATAATTTGCGAACAAGCGATCCTTAAAATGTTCTTCAGTTGCTATTAGTTAACTTCCGTTTAATTCAACTTCCGGTCTTGAGCCACACACACACACGTGTTCAGCTATGTGCATATATATACGTATATATAGTATTGTTTATTTTCTCTGATTCTGCCAGTTCTTCTTCTTCTCTTGACGTCGATCAGCCGTCGCTGCACACAATATTGGTAAAAGATCACGGAATAACTAAAAGTCCATTGCTCTGCGGACATATCGCGGACCTGCGCTCACTTGTTGATCGCCACATCTCTCTCGCCATTGGCGATCGCTCCCTGTGAGAGCAGATGAGAGCGCGGCCCACAAGATCACCCACAAAAAGAGCGAGCGGAGAGCGGGAGAAATTCAGGTTGGCCAGGTGGAAACTCGTTTTGTCTGTGTATTTTGAGCGCCTTTACTCCCGCTCTCACCCACACACACACGCACTTGAATCGCAGGTAGAGCGAGAGCGCGTGCAAGGTGAGAAAGAGAGAACCGGTTTCTGCGGTTAATATGCCTGATTTTGATTTTGATTTTGAGTGGGTGTTTTGCCCGCCCTCTCTTTCCTTCCTGGTCGCGCCATCTCTTTCTCGCCCATCGTGCCAGCTCCCTCTTGTTTGATTATATTCGTTTATTTATATAATTTTTGCAAGTAGTTGTTTCTGATTCTTGCTAGGAAATTTCGCGTACTTTACCGAGTACTTTTAACCTTGGAAACTGAAGAATTTTGACGGATATTTATGGGGTTTGAATATAGATTTAGGCACAAGTAACAGCTGTAACCAGAATTATGAACTTGCCAATAAGAAGAATTCGTACAACTTAGATATATTAACAAATTATTGCTCAGAAAAACAAGGCATAGATCAGTGGTTTAAGACTTATCCTACCAAATCCGAGTTAAGAAATCTGTAAACGAACATCCCTTAATTCCCTAAAATCAAACGTGATCGGCGGCCATAAAAGGATTGCGATCGCCTGATAAGGAATCATAAGCCAGCTGTTTTCTGGACATCCAAGGAAACCGTGGAGTTCCTAGTAAGAAATATGTAACAATGGTTTAATCTATTGAGTATCAGCGATCTTAAAAGGCTTTGGATTGAAACACCTTGAGTTGGTTTCCCGGAAATTATTACACTTAATATCCATATGCATCAGTAGAGATTTCTCCGAGTGCATGAACCTGCTAGCACTTGCAAATTGTGGCCATTAGTCAACGCGTTGATTTCTTCAGCCCCAAGCGCAGCCAGTTGATTGAAATGATTCTCCTCGCACGCCATCTCATCGCCGCAGAATTGCAGAATCGCAGCAGAATGAGCGAGAGAAGAATGCTGCCAGAAGAATCCAAAAATACGCTGGCTCACAAACCCAATCACAATTCGAATCACAGCCGCAATCATAGCTGAGACTTTTCAACTGTCAATTATTTCCTTATACCTTATGCAAAGCCTCCAGACGCGAGAATCCAGTGGGGAAACTCGGACTTAATGCGCTAAACGGCCCAAGTAAATGACCAATAATCATGGGAGCTGCCAGCTCTCCGGCTGCCGGTTGGCTGGCCACGAAATAAGCAGGAAAAATATATGCTGCAAGGAGCCAGAGCCAGTCCAGCACCGAGCGCAATTTATTTTTGCATTAAATTGCAATTTGGCCGGGACTCGCAGTTTTCTACCATTTATACAGATATTATCGTGATTAATAATGCACAAACATGTCATACGCTCGTTTCGTGTGTGTTTGATTGGAGCGCATTAGGATCGCGGCATTTAATGATCCGGGAGTCTGCAGTCTGCAGTCTGGAGTCGCGAGTCTCCAGACCAGCGATCCTCAGTCCCACGGTAGCAATTATGTCGCTTAGTGGCCGGCTTACGGATGATGATGATCGTCGCAAGGATGGTTTCTCCGCTGGATCGCTGGATTGCGGGTTGCCTGGATCATCCTGAATGGCGGCGCCATCAAAAGAGATGCAATCGCGATTGCGCATTCCAAGGCAAACCTCGTCGTATTGACACAAGCTTCCTTTAAATGAAAGCCCCGGCTTAATGTCGTTATATTTCGATAGTCGCGCTTTTAAATGCTCGTTTCCTGTGCCGCCTCGATCGGTGGTTCTCCTCTTCAGGGACACGATCATCGATTGCCGGTCTCCACTTCCACTTCCATTGCCAGGTCCCCAGTTCCCAGTTCCCAGTCCCATCCCAAGTATCGTTGTCAGTCTCAAGGCAAATGGTACATGATTTCAAATTTCAAGTACCAGTTTACATAAAGATCGCACAGGCTCAAGCTAGCTGCACTGCGGAAAAGGGATTGTAGTGCTTTGGGAATGTTTCAATAAGTTGGCTATATTGACATATAGTTTTAAGCACGCCACTGCGAGCTATGAGAACAGATGCTATGTTTTTTTGAGTGCAAGGGAGCAGGAGAAACCAGTCCCTCCTGCTCCTGGCTGCCCCATCCTGCCCTGCCTTTCGGTTCCTTTCCTGGGCCGAGCTGGGCTGGGCGATCCGAGGGAATGCCTTGAAGCCTCACAGCCATCTGTCACAAGGTCCCAGTTCCAGTCGAAGTGCAAGTCCCAGCTCCATCTCCAACTCCAGCTCCAACTCCAACTCCATCTTCAGCTCCATCTGCGTCTCAGTCGAGTCGAATAAGAATGCGCCAAACTTGATTCCTTCGAAGCGAGCGCCGAGTGCGCATGCGTGGGCTGGAATTACATGATCACGATCAGCGATAAAACTTGATGTTGTACATAGCAGGCGACATGGGAGCGGGACGGGATCCGGATCGGTGCAGGAATGGGGGGCAGGGCGGTGCGCATCGGATCGATCCAGCGCCCCATACAAAATGTCGCAAAAGTCGTACAAATCTACACGGAGCTCCAAGAGCACAGCCAGGTTCACTCCAAGACCCAGCTGGAGCAACGGGACACCGTCAGGCGATTCCGGATGCACTTGAAACAATTACCAGAAGTCCCAGCTTTTACCTATCTCCGGAATCCTAGATAGTAGCTATGCATTTTCCCATTTAGTTCCAGAAAATCTAGTCCAGCTTCTAATTTACTTTCTAAACGTATTCAAAACCAAGCAAAATTGGAGGCACCGCATCTTTTCTGCACGTGTAGCGAACCTCGTGGCCGATCGCCCCAAGTCGTGTCAAATTATTGATTGCTGTCTTTTAATTTGATTTTGATTTTTCCACCGACTCTGTCATCTTTCCGATCGCAAACGCTGGCTGGATGTGAAGGGCGGGCTGGGGAGCCAGGATTATTAATCTGCTGCTTTGATTTGAAGCGACACACCACGATCGTGACAAAGAAAAGTAAAAGTCATAACACACATCTAGGGCGGCGATAAGATCGCCGAGATCGCCGGCTTAACACCGATCATCTGGTCCATTGTTTTGGAGTGACTTTTTTTATTGGAACCGAGTAATTATCGGGGGCGTGCGTTTTGGGTGCCTGTTTCTTCTTTTTTTCCTTGGGATTCCCTGGAACAGACGGCAGCTCATTAGCCGCAGGCGTTGCCCCTGATTGGACCAACTATAATCCCTGACGGAGATTAGGCCCAGGTTTTCTGGGGAAACCGAAAAAGACGGCGGTAGTCGATGGTTTGTGGTTAGATGTCGGTTATGGCTTTTTACTTCTATCCCCCGTTTTGACGCAGATCTCTTATCGCGTTTTATGTGAGGAATTGACATATCTACTTGGTAATTTGATCTATGGAAAAGGCCTCGCTGCGAACTGTTTGTTGTCTTTTTAGCCGAAGGTTGCGTTGCCTGCGACAAACAATGGCCGGGCATCATAATTACAATGGATTAGGGAATATTAATATTTCGTTTCATCTTTGCCGTAGGTCAAGACCCCTCGTATTTGCTGTTGTGAGTACTTGAAATCTTTTCGCCTATTGACGTAGTTCCTCAGCGGGCAAACAACAAAAGAGTTGGCGCATGGCCAAGATCATCTGCCCATAAGTGTAGAAATTGGTAGGAACTGGGATAATTATTTGGCAGGGTCAGCTTACACGGCTTGTTGGTAGAGGAGATGGTAAAAGATATATTCAGCTAACGAGGTACGGAGGTGTTCAAGCAACAACTTATTAACTTTCCCAGCTGTACGTATGATTAAACCCTTTGCGCTATGTACATAAATCCTGTAAATTTCACTTTTCCGCGCTGGCGCCACTCGCAAATTGAGGCACGCAGTATCTTGGAAATTTCCGCCATGGCTGCCAATTTCCGAATTGTTTGGGCCACGTCCGAAGCGATTATGCATCACACTCGACTCGAATTCCCACACCCAATCCAGTGCGATGCCAATTGCCAGCCGAGAACAGTGCGAATGTGAAGTGTTTCTTCCCCCACCGCTCCCAATAAAACATTCCGCGAATGATTTGCATGCCCCTGGAGATCCGATCCGATCGGAACCAAACCGATCCAAGCCGAGTTTCTGGTCGGAGAACGAACTGGTCCAATCAAATCGAAACCATCTGGCCAAGTCGAAGCGTTCGTGGGAATCAGTTCAATACGATTTGCATGCACAAATACTAAAACTCAAACTCAAACCCAAACTCAAACTCGGCGAAGAGAAGATCTGGGGTCGAGGGGCTCCGATTGTCAATTAATTGCAGCAAACGGGGCACAAACCGTACTGCAACAATGGCAAATTGTTGCAATTTTCTCGCGGCCAGAAGTAGTAAAAGACGTACAACTGCCGAATTATTGAGTGACTGAATGAATGGCTTGAATGAGTGACGGCCGCAGCCTTTTCGTCTTGCATCGCTGAGTGGGGCATGGGTTCCACAGTGCAGCCTCGAGGGGAAGGACGCTAAAGCTGTGCCCACTTCATGACTGAAACTACACAATAAATGCGAGTTAGCTAGGCATTATAAGCCTGCTTATGAGTGCAGCACATGGCAATACTACTGTCCACTCGTAGAGGCTTGCCTGTACATTTCGTAGGAAGTCATGTGCCTGATGGTCTGATACCGAAGCCAAACCCAAACCCTAACATAAAACATCGTTCCGTGTTCGCGGTCACCGCTTGTCCCGCTTTATTCCTGCTGCCAAATGGTCGACTGACTGTGTTTCTGTGTTTTCCAAAGGCCCAAATGGCCAAATTGATGCGCGATGCGATTTAACGTTTCTCTGATTGAGCTAATGACAGGCGACTACGTGAGAAAGAAATGTATTTCAATTTCGCATTCGCATTGGGTCAAAAGCGAGTGCTTACTGGGGTGCACTTCTCGCCTAGTTGGCTGCCCAAGAAAGGGGGTGTGCAAC